TCACCATTCTAGATCAGAGCAGTGGTAGTGGTTTGGCTTGTGAACTTTAGGGGTTTAGCAGATGGGTCTGCTTAGGGTGGGCTGAGGGGAAAGATGACCCCATAGCAGGATGCCAGTACTGATGGCTAATATGCAGGAAAAGGCTCTTCTCAGTCTCGCCTGCTGCTGCCACTCAGTCAGGATTGTTGTTATCCACTGAAGGATGGTGGTCCAATTTCAGGTTGGGGGGTGATGGTACAGGGCCGCCGTTGTCCAGGCTACCGTCACCGGATCGGGTTCAGTCGCTCTGTCCCCTGCTGGCTCCCTGTGGCCTCCCGGAAGATTTTGAAATTCCCCCCGGACATTTTTTTAGATATGAAAAGTAGGACATGTCCGGGGGAAAAGGGACGTCTGGTCACCCTAACATATCAACAATTTGATGTTTCAGTGAGTGAGTGCTTGTTGCTATGATTCCAAAAAAAATAAAAAAACAATCCACTGGACTTTTAATTTTTTTGGAACAACTATGACCTGGATGACTGAGAACCTTCACCAGCTTGTTGCTATGATGCATATTTGCTCAGCAGGTTTGGTTTGCTCATTGTAAACAAACCAATCAGCACACAGCTCATCTAAATATTCATGAGCCTACCATAAAAGAAAAAAAGAACTGTCGTGTCATTCTGAGGCTTATAATCAGGCTTGCATTAGGGCTCATAGAACAGCAAATATGCCATTTTCAGCCCAACCAATGTTACACACCCTATTCAGAGACCTTAAGGACCAGCACCAAATATCCTATATAATCATTCTATGACCCCTTTATAGTTTGCCCGATGATGAACTAAACTTGTGGAGATCCACAAATTTTTTCTCCTGATATCACGTTTGATATCACGGTATGCACGGTTTTTTTTAGTGCCTCCATTGTTTCATACAAGGAGGCAGAGCGTAAAAGATACCTCCTTAAAATGATTGCGAAGGTACACCTCCAGTGAACTTCTATGTTAGGTGACACAGGCTTTTCTAATTTATTTAAATGAATATTTATAAACATTAATTTCTATGGACTTAAAAAGCACCTATCTCTTATTAGTCTGGCATTTAGAGAAAATAGATGAGTTTATACCTGCACTGACCCAAACTATAACAGATTTAATCTATCTCAACCAAACCAACCATATGCATGCCTAAGCTTAAATCTATCCAATTGTTACATGGAGGCCACCAAATGACTTCTGTTTTGACTGTCTTAATACAGAGTGAATGCTGCATAAGGCTACAAACATACAGCCACTTAAACATATAAATCCCTTTAGGGTCAAACCTACAGAGCAAGTCAAAGTTCTGTTTAACAGATTTGATAGACAGGTATTAAAAGTTTGTGTTTGTATGTATAGCTGTGTGAGAGGCAGAGAAGGTTAGGAAAGGCTTGTGTTATGTAAAACACAACATCAACCAGAAAGACAGAGTGTCAGCCTCCACAGCGACCTCAAGAAGGCTTAAAAAGGAAACTAAAAACATACTGATCGTGTCTCTTGATGCTTCTGCCATGTGGCGCACTCTCTCACAGCTCAATCCTCTCCGTCTTTCTGTGTCTGTGCCATGATGTGCTTGGTGGCAGGGTGTGCCTGGAGGCCCACACATTTAAAAATTCTTCCTTTTAAACTGCCTGCTTTCATATTAAAGCACAAGTGCAAAGAGAGCAGGAAAGACAGTGAGACAAAGACTGCTGCAGGCAAAGCAGCTTCACAGAGAAGTAAAGGCCTGCGGTCTTTGTGCTCTTCCTCTTGTCTTCTCTTCCCTACTCTGCACTTATAATCTTCATTAACATACCCTTCTTTCATTTATTGGTTCTGTAATTTTTCCATTTTTCTTTTATTTTCACACTTTCAGCATTATTACACGTATTCTTTAAAATATAATTCAAGCTTCTATTCATACAGGTAATTTCTTACAGTAGAGCCGCAGCTATATTTTTATTAAGTAACAGTGTAAATGCTTAAGATATAAATAGTGGCCTACAAAATTATTCATAAATTAAAAATATTTATTGAGTTACAGTCACATTCCTTGATGGGTTTTATTGGGAGTTGGACAAACAAAAAGCAACACATAATTATAAAGTCAGATTAAAAGGATTTATGTCTTTTCAAAATCGTTAAGAAGCAGAATAAATATGAAAAACCTTCTGCAAATTTGTTTTTGGCCACAGAAATTTTGAGACTGTTAAATTAAATTGATTGCTACTAATTGCCTCCTAAACTGAACTATGCTAGAGTCCATAGGGTATAATCTAACCTCAGTAAAAATATAACTAATGTGTGATGGAAGATTGTTGGGTACATTTTTGAAAAAAAAAATATTTGGGCCACGAAATACAGGAGACAGGTAATCAGAAACAGAAAAAGATTGTAGGGAGAAGAAAAGTTGGGAAGAAATCATCTGGTGATTTTGCCCTAATGTTTATGAAAAAAACAGAATTCAATTGTAAAACAAATCAAAAGAGAGCGCACCAATATACTGAGTCAGCCGTCCGCGGCGCCATCTTAGATCTAAAGATAGCTAATCCTTGAATTATAAAATTATATTAAACTTTTAAAAATCTCTTAAATGTCTCTTCGTCATATATGCACTGCATACATTGCGTGATGGTTACTTTTGTTTCAAGTAAAGGTAGGGGATTAGGCTGAAGCTCTAGTTAAATAAGACCAAAGTGCCTACATGCAAAAAAGTACTGTAGTGAAAAAAAATCCTCTAACTTCAGAAGCATTTAAAGTCAGTCCTAACAGATAGTTTCCTTCATGTTTTAGATCTTTTCTGTATTTTGAATGAATTGGTTCATGACCAGATCTCTGTGGAACTTAAAGAAAAATCAACCCCCACACTGAAAAAGATATTACTTTCAGCCAACTTAACAAAAAATGCTCTAATTTTTTGCAGATAGCTTTATTGGTTTTATTCAAGCTCTAATTTAATTATTTTTTTTTATTTTATTTATTTAGTTGTAATCCAGTCAAAATATACTATCATTTATATAATAAGCTTTGTCACTGTTACTACCACATTTTCACGACTATAAGGCGCACTTAAACGTCTTTTTTTTTCCTCAAAATGTGCGGTGCGCCCTTTGGTGCGGTGCGCCTTATGTGTGTTGTAACTGCGACTTTTGAGACCACCTCATTGAGGAGATGATGAAAGAGTGGCTGAATGTAAGGAGACCAGGTGTTTTTTTTCCACTCATCACCATCGCTGTCAATATGTGACTCCATGCGTGGCCATCTCACAGCTGATGTGAAAAACATGGGGAAACAAATTAACCCTGTGCTCGCTGTTCAACCGCTCGACATCGGTGTGAACCGGACCCAGCAGGTGCAGCAGAAGCAGCGAGTTTACATGCAAAGTCAATGGTTGACGCGTGTATAGGTGCAGCAAAAGGTCCCGCAGCTTGTTTTGAGCAGCAGGAGCGTTTAAGCATCTGCCAACGCGCTGCTGCTGCTCGAGATGGAAAAATTTAAGTTTTGCTGCTGGACGCGCCGCATCAACCAATCAGAGAAGCTGATCTGGGAGCTGACAGCGAGACAGACACAGCGCTCTGATGACATATTATATTAACGCAAATGAAAACGGCTGGATGGATGAGGAGATGATGAAACCGTGGCTGAGGCAGGTGTATGTGAGGAGAACAGGTGTTTTTTTTCCCACGCATCACCATCACCAGTTAATCTGTGACTCCATGCGTGCCCATCTCACAGCTGATGAGAAAAACATGGTGAATCAAATGGACGCTGTGCTCACCGTTATCCCGGGAGGTCTGACAAAGGAACTTCAACCGCTCGACATCGGTGTGAACCAGCCGTTCAAAGTAAGGCTGCGAGCGGCGTGGGAGCGATGGATGACAGACTGAGACCACAGTTTCACGATAAGTGGAAGGCAGCGCCGGGCAAGTTATGCCACCGTTTGCGGATGGATTGTAGATGCTTGGGCTAACGTGTCTGCTGGCTCTGTTGTTCAAGCTTTCGCAAAAGCCGGCATTATTTCTGAGGAGCCGCCCGGCACGGAAAGTGACTGACAGCGAAGAAGGGGAAATTGGCATGTCGGATTTAGCGCAGCTGTTTAATTCAGAAACAGAGGATGAGGACTTTGATGGGTTTGATTAATACTTTGTAATAAATACATGAATAAAGCACAAACATACTCAGTTTTGCTCCCGCTCTATTTTTCTACCTGAAAACTTAATTCAACAGCAGCCTCTGGGCGGGTCTCCTCCTCTTCACCGCGGCGGCTGGCAGGTGTTTTTTCATCTAAATAATCTAAATCTTGCAGCTATATTTGCTGTGATCAGTGGGAATAAAGTAGTTTTAATATGTTTTTAAGTGAGAAAGGCCACCTGAAAACTTAATAATTGCAGTCAGTTCATCCAGATTATCTATTTCTGTCGGAGGCGCTCAGACCCCCACATACCAGCGGTGCACCGACAGTAGAAATCCTTTCATCAGCAGCCTCTAGGCAGGGCAGCCTCCAGGTTCACCGCGGCTGCTGGCAGGTGTTTTTCATCTAAATAATTTAAACTGCAGGCACCAGGATACCGGTAATAAAAGCGAACATATTCCGTCGGCAGGTTTCAGGATTTTAAGTTAATTTAGGAGTGACCACAGCGCTGTGTCATCTGCAATGTGTCTGTCTCACGGCCAGCACCCAGGTTTGATCAATACTTTGTAATAAATACATGAATAAAGCACAGTCATACTCAGTTTTGCCCCCGCTGTATTTTTAGAGGTATTTAAAGGTAGTAGAGGACATGTACCTGTATATAAAAAAAAGCGCCCTATAGTCCCGTGCGCCTTATGTGTGTGTTAAATACAGAAATGGGACACATAACTGAGAGTGCGCCTTTTAGTACGGTGCGCCTTATGGTCGTGAAAATACGGTAATATGGTTGTTTTATTTACAATATTACCTGTATCTGTGTCTCAGGCACCCACAGTGAGAGCTCTCTTTTTGCCTCTGTGTCCTTCTAGGTGCAGTACGAGCCTCCAGCATCTTCCCAATCCTGAGTGTTATCCTTCTATTCATGGGGGGGCTCTGTATCGCCGCCAGTGAATTCTACAAGTCACGCCACAACATCATCCTCAGCGCTGGCATTCTGTTCGTCTCTGCAGGTATGAAGGGAGGAAGAGGAGAAGAAGGAGATGGGAGGGATGAAAGGAAGAGAGGAAGAAACTAAAAAAGAATAAATATCTGGCCGAGAGAAACTGAGAATTAAAGTTGGATGGATCAAGGTGAATTTATTCCAGAAAAAGTGAAGAAAATGGTTTTGTTTTTTTTTATACAAAAACTTCTCTAAAAAGAAAGCTATCATACTGAGCGAATAATGAACTGATTTAAACATTTGGATATAAAAGTTATACAGAAGGAATCAAATCTACAAATTAAATCAAAACCCCAGACTTGCTCCAGATGTTTAATTATAGGATAAACTGAGAGATTGGTATTCTACTGTAGTCAAAGATAAAGCTAATTGGAGCAACCAGTATAAGATGATAGAAATCAATTTCACTTTACTGCCTTAAATTACCTGAACCAGATAACTGAAGATAAAAAATAAGGCTAAAATAAACCAGGTAATTGAATACCACTGCATATTTGGTTGTTTTATCTATGTCATGAATCCATGCAGACAAATAGACGGCAAGTTTCCAATCAGTGATCACTTTTTCATCTCTTACTGTGTGTTAAGGTTCTAGGTCGTGGCCTACTGCGCTGCACTAGATAACTAGTTCACCGCTAAGTTGAGAAGTTGTCCGTGTTGTTCCATAATTTTTGCTGTGTCTGTCTCTCTCACCCTGTTGCTAGGCTTAGAGGAGGCCACTGGGATTGCACTCTAAAAATAAGGTGTCCCTGATACTAGTTTACTTTGATCCATCTCAATCAGGCCTTTGTATAAAAAGGGAAACAACATATAAAATTTACTCTTTGTTATATTTATGCAATGTTTTTTATACAGATTTGTTGTTTGACTCTCTGTCTGTATCAGCCTATATTTGTAGCCTAAGAGAAAATTACCCTAATACATGGGGAGAAAACTATAAACGAGGGAAAAATAAGAACAGCTTGAAAAGATTAACAAAGTATGTTAATTAAAACATTTTATGTGCGGCAACAAAGCAGCTGTCATACTGGATTCTTATCTGGCCCTTATTTCCCCTTCTAATCTTAAAACATGCTAAAGGTGAACATTAAATCAGTCTTTTAATTTGATTGGCTCTAAGAGGCAACCATCTGGATAAAAACAAACAAAAAATGTTTTTTTTCTCTCAGGTAAGTAAATTATATTTAGTCACAAAGAGAAAAATTTTTTAATGTTATGTTTATTCTATAGCAAAAACTGTAAGAAAGCATGAGTAGTAATATATATGTTTCCCTGGCTGTATTTTGTTTGGTGATTTCACACTCCAGAGATTGTTTCAGAGTGGTATGATGTTTCATATAGGATGCAAGAGTGGGATTAAAACATTTAGTTCATTTTTTTCTTGTTTTAACATAGCAAAACCCTGTTTCACCCTATGTTCTCTTACAAATGTAATTCTATAAATATATAAATTGAAGCTACATTGTTGTTGGGCTTTTCTGCCTTGAAGTGAGCGCGCACATCCAAGATATTATCCCATCTCACCTTAGAGTTCAACCACCACAGGCAGCGTGCGTTCAATCGCACCCAGGATACGGTTCAGCTACCGGTCCTGCTCGTTCACAGCCTTTGTGAGCGCATCAAACGCTGCCAGCAGCCTAATCAATGCCCAAATTGCCGCCAACATCCTCTGTAATAGTAGATACATCAGGTCCTCCAAATCCAAACAGGAGAAATCCAAGTATCATAAATCTGAAAATCCATCCATCTTCGATATCCTCCACTGACAACACTGAAAAACACACTATCCTCCAAGCCTTCCAGGAGTCCATGATGTATCCCACGAAGTATGTAAAGGAATGGAAGGGTCCCCTTTTCCCTGTATTCCAGTTGAGAAAATTTGATTAATTGCTTTGCGAGACCAGCTGATCAGATCTATTGTTTGAATTCAGGTGATATGAAGAGAGGACTCAGAAAAGACAAGGCACAAGCAGGGTTAGATCAGGGAGTTGCAGAGCAGCAGGAAAAATGCAACTGCATCCTTCAAGCTTGCTTAGCTGCTAATATTTACACCATTTATAGGATGAGGGATGCCTTAAAGAAGAAGTCTGGTCAACAAGAAATAATCATTATCTCTACCTAAAACTAAAACGTTTGCAGTGATTTAATAAATTTAGCGTTAGTCATAAAAAAAAATAAGGGCAATAATTTTCATCGCAATCACTGAGTCTGGAACCAGCCACTTTTGTCCAAATATAGTAACACCTCACTCTTGACATCTTTGGGCAGTGACGTCACGGTGTGGTAAGCCGAGCGCCATTCTCCCCGCTTTACAAGCAAAATCAATGGGAACTACTAGACAGCCCTGCAATCAGCAAAAATTATTTTAGATTCTCGGAGGACTTTGCCATTGAAATTCGCAAGACCTGTAGTTAAACTGAAAATGCCCACATGCATGGCAGTTGGATGTTGTACTACACTGGGTAAAAGTGAAAGAAAAATTAGTTATTTAAACTTTTCCACTCGTGATCCACCACTTGTTCATTGTTGGATTGCCAACCTGAAGAGGGAGGATAATAGGGCTTATGACAAACATCAGATACAGCATTGGGACTTGATTAACAGCTGATACTGCACCTTGACGTCACAAACCGGTATGTGGCAGTAGTGTTCTTTTACAAACATGGGGGCCTCCAGTAAAGCCATTCAAATGAAAATTACTCTTAATTAAAGCACTTATCATTTGTTGAACAGTATGTAATACTTTCATATTTAAAGTATCTTCAGAAGTTTGAATTCTGAATATGACGGGACTTCTCCTTAGATCAGCAGGTCGCAACTTAATCAGTTTCAGTCGCTGCCGCAAGATACCTCACACAGGGTCTTGGGTCTCAGTGAGTTTTCTTTCTTCCCAAACGCAGGGTTGTGATCATCATGTAAAAAACTGTTTGAGCCAACACACACCTTTTGAACAAATAGGAAAGTTCAGCTGAGATAACCACTGTTTCAGCCCTACTGTATGAGGTCAGCACAGAGACAGTTCAGCTTTACATTAAAATTAAAAAAGTTGCAAAGTAACATTTAGGTAGCACCTCATAGACCCAGTTTATACAGTTACCAAGAAGTCAGAATTCTGCCAAAAGTGCACACCCATAAGAAATACTGATAAGATCAGTTTTTTTTTTTAAACACATGCATGGCAAACTACTCTCCACGTGCATTTTGAGCATTCTCTGAGTGGAGATTGAAAACCGTAGCACCGCCTAATGTATTTCAAGCTTGAGTGCATGCCCCTTCTCTGCACTCATGGTTTGCTTTTTATGTGCATTTGGATTCTCTTCTGCTGGTGTGTGGAAATGTTTTTCTTTTTTTTTTTTCTCATGTCAACTTTTGTCACTTTGAGCAATTATGGCTCCTAAAACAAGCATTGAGCTACCGTTGCTGCTGCTGTAGGTCCAGCATGCTCCACCTCCTCCTGTTTTTGAACCTTTTTTCTCCTTAGCTTCTAACTTGGTGTGGATTTTCTTCTGAATCTTAATCTTTTATCCTTCATATGAACCTGTCCAATGTAAACACTTCTATGTATGAGCTGTGTTGGGGTACGGTACAGTATGGTATGGTGCCATTAGTCATCCTCAAACTTTGAAATTGTTATTTGCTTAATGCAATAACCTGTAAATTTCACTGCACGTATTTATCTAATTTTACTGTTGTTGTTGTTGTTGTTTCCTCAGGCCTGAGCAACATTATAGGAATCATTGTATATATATCAGCCAACGCTGGTGACCCCTCAAAGAGTGACTCCAAGAAGAACAGCTACTCATACGGCTGGTCCTTTTACTTTGGTGCCCTCTCTTTCATCATGGCTGAAATGGTGGGTGTGCTAGCAGTACACATGTTTATTGACCGCCACCGGGAGCTGCGAGTTGGTGCACGTGCTGCAGACTACCTCCAAGGTGCTGCCATCACACGAATCCCGAGCTACCGTTATCGCTATAGACGCCGCTCGCGTTCCTCATCCCGTTCCACGGATCCCTCACACTCTCGTGAGGCATCACCAGTGGGCCTGAAGGCCTTCGGGACACTGCCTTCCACCGAGCTGTCTATGTACACGTTGCCCAAGGGCCAGACGGGCACCCCTACAGCAACGTATAACTCTACGGAAAGGGACCACAACTTCCTACAGGTCCACAACTGCGTACAGAAGGACCTCAAAGACTCGGCAGCCAATCGGCGCACTACGCCTGTATGAAAATGAAGACAAAGCGTGGATTCTAGGGTAGAGTAGCAAATGAAAAAGGTTTTAGTAAAGAAGGAGGAAGGAGCTGAGAGGTGGAGATGAGAGAATAGACTGGCAAGTAAGGGGGGAAGGAGGGGGGCTGAGTTTCTGAGTTCTTCAAAAGACCTCAGATAATCTTTAAGCTTTTGGTTAAAAGAAAAACAAGACAAAAAGAAAAGAAGTAAAAATGCATAAAAAAGAAACATGCATGATTTTCCCATGAACAATGTTTAACATGTTTTAAACATGTTTGAGGGGGGTGATAAATCAGGAGGGGGGTGTCTGGGGTCTGTGGCTGTCTCAGGGCTATGGATCCATGGCGTGGTAGGCTGGGCCAGGCTGCCTTTTCAAAGGTGATTTTGTTTTATGTTAATTTTCTTCCTAATCTAAATAAACTGGGTGCACAGTTTGCCCGTTTGGCCCAGCCTATGAAACTGCCCTTGCACTGTCATACCATAAGCCCTCTTACGCACACGCACACACAACGTGAACTCCCATACACCCCGCTCCTTCGTTTACTTGCTGTTTCCTCTTGATTTCATTCTTTAATCGCATTAAACTGTGAACCACTGCGGTGTGGGATTAAAGCAGGGAGCAATTCTGACCGCAAAAAAAGGTAAAATAACCTAAGTTACTATATGTACCGATTATATATATATATTCATATATATATGTTACTATATCATGACTAGCCTTCCCTGGTGCAAAAAATATCCACAAGAAGAAAAAAAAGTAAAGTAACTCAGTTACTGTTGTAAAACTACAGTCATCATGCAAACTGAAACCAAGATGGAGGATTCAGCATGACTGGCTCATCCTTTGGACATCTGCCTATACAATAGAAATTGGTTAGTGTTAGACACATTATCACATTTTTTTATGACAAAATGAAAAAACAACCAAAAAAAAACATTTTGGAAGTCCACCAAAAGAAAAAAACACAAAAAAAACTGGCAGCCATATTTGTTCGAGGTTAACATGTGAAATGTTGACCTTTTTTTGTTGTTGTTTTTTTTTCTTTTTTATTTATTTATGTATCTATTTATTCATTTATTTTTGACCCCTCTAAGGGGTAGAGAGGAAAAGAGCTGTGGGCAAGGAATACATTTCTCTGCAAACTTGAAGACGACTGTGGACAATGAAACGCCACTACTGCCAAAGACACAAGGTAGTGCGTGAGAGAACACAGCTACCAGCAAGCTGAAGTGAAGTGACTCTAGAAAAATGAAGTATCAATTTACATGCATGCTGATCAAAATCATTAAATCTGCTTTTAAGGAAACCTATCTTTTTTGAACAATTAGACAATGGTACGATGTAAGGGCAGCCAAAAAATAGAAATAACTGTTACAGTACTGTGTCTCTTCCATTTTTCTTCCTGTTTGTTGGGTAGGGGGGGTCAGGGGTTTGGAGAGGGGAATTATATTTGCTTGGAACTAAAACAGAACTTTGGAAATGTATCAAGGCTATTTTTTAAGAGAAGAAAACCTTGCCTTTTCATTTCATTTTGTTTTCAAAGTTAAGTTTAACTCAAATACAGCCTTATCTTTATCTTGGTTCTCTTGCTTCTTTGGTTCAACATGTGTTGTTGTAAATGAGAATATATATTTAAAAATAGTCTAATATCTTTCAGGGTGCCAAAACTGAATGATTCTGAACTTGGATGCTTCAAGTCCTGATGACTAATAAAAAATCCATCCCTCCCCTGTAAGAAAGTGAATGAGTGTGTTGTTTATATGTAACCAAAAAATGCAAACTAACTATTGTTTTTCTAAAGGATTTGCAGTATATCCTTTGTAATATCTGGGATTTGTCTGTGTTAGCCTTTACTCTGCTTAATGCCTTCACAGCAAGAGCCTTATTATTCATGTAAATGTGATTCTATGACTATGTTGTGAACTAATAGCTGTTAAACAGCAGTCTTTATATACAATTTAGCATCTTAGATAAGATAAGGTGGTATAAAAATACAATATTTGCAACATTAAACTTGTTAAACAGAGGGGTGGCTGTGCTTCAAAAAATGAAAAGAGAATGATCTAAAATGAATATCTTATTATTCATTCCATAAGTAGGTAACACAATAGTATATGTTATTCTAGTACAATTTGGCTGATGGCGGCAGTTAAGACAGCATCAGTGTTCAGTATCCTGCACCTGGATCAGGTATAGATGCATTCCATCAAAACACTCTTGAAAACAGCTCACTAAGACCTTGTGAGGGTGATTGGACTGTTTGTCTATCAATGTCTTAAGTTTGTATCACAATTTCAGTCATCATTTCCATCCAAGGCAAGCTATCAGGGTGTTGTGCTGTAATGAAGTATCTATTCAATTCAGTTTATTTATATGGAACCAGTTCACAACATGCCATCTTAAGGCACTTTACATAAACAGTACAGTCAGATTGATTATAAATATCAAGAAAAAACAGCTGATTGCATCCAGTCATTGACTAGCAGGACACACTCCTACTGGATGAGCTTGTGGCAAGGATATTTTTCAACAGTCCCTCACACCTAGCATGCATGCATACAACAGCAGTGGAGAGGAGAAACTCCCTGTTCTCAGAAAGAAACCTCCAGCAGAACCAGGCTCGGTGTGAGCAGCCATCTACCCAGGCAGTCTGGGGTTCAAGGAGACAGCAGCAGACATACAGAAAGAAGTGGATATGCAAAGGGTAACTGTTAACTAGCTCAACAGGTGGCCCCGACTGGGAAAGACACAGCCAGGCAAACAAGCTCCAATGTCAAAGAATGAAAGAGAGCACATACAGTTAGTCACAGTAAAAGAAACAGGACCACACTGAAAAAAAAAATGTCAAACTTCAACACTGACAAACAAAGGTGTTGATGGCATGACCCGGCTGATATTTCATTCCAGGATGGTGTCACAGTTAAACAGGGACAGACCAGATGAAGTTACAATGACGAGAAAAAACAGAACATAAAGTTATGTGCGGAACGAGCAAATTCCATAGAATAGGAGAATAGAGATAGAATGAAGCAGAATGAGGAAAAATGGTCCACGTATCCTCCAGCAGCCTAAGTGTATAGCAGCATAAATGTAACATATTAGGATTACCTAACTACTTTGGATAAGTGATGAAAAAGGTCAACCCAAGAAGATATCCTTCTACTGTAGATTGAATTCTTCCCAGCCCTATTGTGCCATTCAATCTACCTTCTCCCACTTCTCTGCTGACCCAGTGACTAAGCAATCATTATTTTTTTTAACTATAGACTTTATCAAAAAGGAAAGTTTTAAGCCTAGCCTTAAAAGTAGACAGGATATCTGTCTCACAGGCTAAAACTGGTAGGTGGTTCCACAGGAGAGGAGTCTGAAACCTATCTCTTGTTATCAGGCAGCCATCAAGCTGAGGGTACCAAGACCGAGTTGGGAACAAGGATAGACTATTATTTTAGTTATGAAGTTGAGAAAGTCTGCAATCTTCACACAGACAAGTTTCAGTGTTGTGGTTGTAGGATTTTAATTAAATCATATAACTACTGCCTTCCTTCTTTCAGATTTTACAAAGGGAGATAATTTTTTAAAGGAAAAGTCCAGGGATAATCAATGGATCATTATTTAGACCTAAAACTAATATGTTTGTGGGGATTTAATGAATTTCTTGTTAATCAGTAAAAAAAAAAAATATAAAAACAATAATTTTTGTCATGATCGCTGAGTCCGGGAGCAGCCATTTTTGCCCAAATATAGTAACACCTCTGTCCTGACATCTTCCGACAGTGACGTCACTGTCGGACAGCCTAGCGCTATTCTCCCCATTTTGCAAGCAAAACAATGGGAACTACTAGACACATCTGCAATCAACAACAGTTAAACTGACAATGCCCATGTGCTTGGTAGTTGGATGTTGTGATACATCAGGTAAAAGTGAAAAAAAAGTTTGCCATCGAACTTCTGGCCAGAGAAAAAACACGTCATATGCAGCCAATCTTTCGAAAAAGAATGTTTTCAAGATGACTTGGATAATAGTGTGTTGTAAAAAACACCTGATACAGCACTGGGACTTGATTAACAGCTGATACCGCACCATGATGTCACAAACCAGTAGGTGGCAGTAGTGTTCTTTGACAATGAAAACTACTCTTAATTAAAACACTTATAATTTATTGAGCTGTATGTAATAATTTCATATTTAAAGTACTTTCAGATGTTTGAATTATGAAAATGACTTGACTTTTCCTTTAATTCATGTGGAGATGCAAATCAGACAAAATTTAAAAAAAAGATTGAAGGTCAAAATCTAAGAGACCTTTATGCATTAGGAAAGTTAAACGTATGTTTTTTAAAGTAATACAGGACTTGAACTTGGTCTACTGTTTGAACTCAAAATGGTAGCAACACACTTCAACTGTTCTTTCTATATTTTGGAAATTATTTTAGTTAGGTGAAAAACATTTTCTGTTGCCAAAAGAACTTCTTATAACTCATAAAACATTTCATTATGAGCGGTTTCAGTTATTGTTAAAGAAAAAATAGTCCATCTTATATAAGGAATATATAAACATTCAATTTTACATAAGTCATTACATTTATATTAAAGATGTTGGAGTAGTATTTTTTGTGTGTTGAAATACAAAGCATGGGCAGTTGAAACTAATTAAACTAGATCCCATTTTCTCACAGCCCTCTAGAAAATTTGATTGCATTTAGTTATGTAGGCTTTTCATGTTTATGTAGGAAACCTTTTTTTGAAAATAATAGAGCATCCGCACCATAACAATGCTTTCCCTCAGGTTATGTGATTTGTATACCTTTGTGGATTTTATTAAAGTTCGTGATTTAGGAATAGGCCCGTATTAGTGAAGAAAACATGTCTTTTAGAAGCTTCATATACTCCAGATTTTTCAATCCTAAACACAACACATAACAAGCCTGCATAACTAGTAATTGTAATCATCCTGCTAATCCTGTTAAAATGTACTTTATATAACAGAAATGTAAGATACGATGCACTGAGTGAGACCCCATGAAAGAGGCTGATAGCACAAAAAAATCTGTGTTGCTTTTAAAAGTAAACAGGAAAGAAAGCTGCAGGTTGCATTTGATAGTGTGACTGATTTAATCACTTATAGAAACTCCTTTTGACAAATTCCTTATCAAAACCTAACCAAAATGCGAACTTAGCCAATTATGCAATTCAGTATTGCATAATTGGCTAAAACTAACCTTTGTGAAAGTTTGTTGAGAACAATTCTGATATTATTTAACAGAAATGATAAAAATAAAAAAGTTACATTAAACACTTGTGTCTTAATGTCAGTGCTAAATATCTTATCTATCTTGCATAATTTAAAACGTTTGCTAATTTTTTTATGAAAAGCTGAAGGAGAATATAAACCTATTAGCATTGATTAAAAAGCCCAAACAAATAAAAACAACAACACTAATGAAGTGTATTTTAATGTATAAATTTTACATTTACTATATTCCTGACATTTTTCTAGCGATGGGCTTTTTATATATTAGTTTTTAGGTCCATTCTTAGCCTATAAGCTACAGTTGTCACTAAAAATGAGCTTATCTTTAAAGTCGGTGCATCAGCGGTCAGTCAGACAGGCACTAGAGGTTTGGTCCACAATGTATTCTTTTCTATGGCTGTTTAGTTAATTGATAATTCACTGTGCTGTACATAAAAGCAGGCTTCTTTATTCTTACAGTGGTGATCTGTTGCATTATGGATGCATTATTTTTAAGTATTTGAAGATTTTTTTCTCTTTATCCAGCGCTTTTATGAAACCCTTCTCTATTGCCTAATGTCTCATATAAGATATGATGAGTTTGGGCTTCATCATTGAGAGTTTTTTCCTTTTCTTTTACATTTTTCAAACAGCTGTTTGGTAATTTTATTTAAATATATCTAATTCTTTAGCCTCAGCCTCCCCATATTACATGCATCTTTCTGCCATTTCTTTCTATATCTGTCGCCACCTTTTCTCTCTCTCTCCCTCCATGTCCTCCCCCGATGTGAAGATCAGAGAGGCTGCCATGTCTCTCTGCAGCACTGCTGTGATCTATGAAGGGAGTCAAGGGAGGCATGAGTGGGAAGGAGGAAAGATAGAAGGGACAGGGAAAGCTGCGAAGCCTGACAGAAACAGTGCCACACTGCCTCCATCTGGCCTGGAGGTACTGAGATATTGTTGTTTGAACAAAGTAACCTTTCTCATGAGTACTTCAGACCATAAAAGTTGCTTTTTTCAGACAAAAAAGGGATCTCACACAAAATAAAATTGAATACCTTGATAGATTAATACTGTATTGTTTCATGTTTCAGCCACACATTACTCTCTTTTTCTGTTTGGGTTTTAGGAAATACCAACACAAAGTAGTATGTATCTGTAAAGGGGCAAGAATTAATATTAGGTTATCAAAATGTTTAATATCATTCCATATGATTGTATACTATGCCATCAGGTTTGACACTCTTAATTAAATTGAATTCAATAGAAACCAAATAATTACAACACTGCGTAAACCTGTATGCTTTTGCATGAAATACAACACACTGAGCCAAAGGAATCTGTACGGTACAACCTAAAGCCAGCCAAGCCTTTAGTTGTCAAACAAAACTGGTAGGCTGGTCAATGAGCAAATTAAATGGACAATAAGGCAATTTTATGGACTTTAAAACTAGTAATTATGAAAAATGTACAATAAAACTACTCCACTGGTAGGAAAATAACG